GTTTTGTATGATCTCGTGCAAGTTTCTCATTTATATGCCATGGATCTTCTGAGCTTTGCAGAGAACAAGTTTGGACTATATGCAGTGATACAATGCCAAAAACTACTCAAATAATCAGACGTCATGACAAGTTCAGCATGCGATACACACTATGAAATATCCCTGAGAAACAAACAGTTGATTTAATAATCAAAAATATAACTTGATAAGCCTTACTACTATGTACATCCTAAACTTCTATACAATAAGCCAGTCAACCAATCCAAAGCAATTCATTACAGAAAAAAGGAATAAAGAACATTTTCTTAGTATACTAATTTTAGGTGTATTAACCTTTTAATACACTGAAAAATAATCATATTATTTTTATTTATGGATCAGAATATGTTAGCACAAAGCTAAAAACAATGAAAAAACATTGTTCATTGTTTGTTGCCCAAGTCTGGCGAATTAACATTAGTAATGTTCTGTTAAAATAGCTCAGCCTATTTCCTATGAACCCAACGTCCCCCGGACTATTCCCCAGGGAGAACTCAAGAGGCCAAATCAACTAGATGAAACTGTATTTCTTAGTGCCTGAACCATATCTTAATGTCACAACCTTTTCGCAGTGTTATCATCTGATCGACTAATGAAAAATGGTAGACCACCAATAACACGACAGAGTTTCCGTCAAACTTCTGCAGAATTATTATGCTGAAGGTTTGACAGCTAGATATCTTGACAACTTTAAAAGGTTGAAGATTAAAATAATTAATGAGATCATTTCAAGAGCAAAAATGGACTCACACATCACTTTTACACCACAGTCTTCTAGAAGCTGCAGGAAAAAAAAAACGAATCCATAAACCTATTATTAGACATGCTGCAACATGTTCATTTCTACCCAGATGATCTATAGAGTATTTCACACACACCGTCTCACAGTGTCTCCTCAAAAAAAAAGAAAAAAAAAAAAAAAAAAAAAAACTGGACCAGAACATCATTGATATTACAAAAATGAAACAACGCAAATATCACTTAACTGTGACATTAAGAAAATGTATAAATATAATTAGAATTCTCTAAAAATGTCTTTTTTTAGAATATGTTCATATGTGAATCATATAATTCATTGTACTGTAATAATAGGCCCAATATTATTAAATAATACTATTTATCATCATCATAATCATAATAATATGGGGGGGGGGGGATTAAAAAGTTAATAAACAACTTCATGTCACATCAAAATTAGGGATGCATGATATATCGGCCACATTATCGGTATCGGCCGATATATGATCATTTTTAATGCTATCGTTATCGGCCCCACAAGAATATTTAGCCAATATCTAAAAGCTGATAAATAATGTATTATTTCCTTCAGTATATAATGTAAATGTATTATTTCCTCTCAAAAATTGTCTAAAAATTTGGATTTAGATTTATCGGCCAATATATCGGTTATCGGCTTTCAAATATAAAGAATTATCGGTTATCGTATCGGCCAAAATTTTCATATCGGTGCATCCCTAATCAAAATCAAACTTGAAATGGGCTGAAATTATAAAAGGAAAATCAGAATATTACTCCACAATTAATGTGCATTGTTTATTGTTCCTACAGTTTAGGTATTATTTTGGAATACATGTAAACATTTGCAAACACACTAACTTCATGATATTTATACTTGGTTAAGTTTTAATAAATAGCCTAGAACATTACATAGTGTAAAAAAATACAAAATAGAGTTATTGTATATTTGGTCATATATTATGTAATGTTTAAATAAAGTGTAACAGGAACATAGATTTACATTTGTTTAAAATAGGGATAAATTCGGGATAATGTAGAGCAAGGGGGTTGTTGTAGAGAATACTACCCCGACAGGCTGATCAGGACCCTGAGTGTTTTTCTTGAGTCAGCCTGAAGGGGTTTTATTCGCAATAACAATCGCCTCGCTCTACATTATCCCACTTATTACACAGCTACCTATCAAATAAATCAATAACTTGACACAAAATATTGATTTAAAAGGGTGTTTATTGATTTAAAGGAGTTTATCCTCCAGAGTGAGCAGAACTGTGTCCATGGGATGTTGCCTGTCAACAACAAGGCAACTCCTATGTCTAATTGGGAATGGGACGCAAGCGCAGGTTTGATCACCCTGTCGCTGGCCGCCTTTGGAGAGGGTGTATAGTGTGAAAGGCCGAAACACCCTATGAACCAAAGGTACACTGCTGACGATGCGATCCCCAAATTCATGAGGCTCACTGTTCATGAACTCTTGGAAGTGCTTGCACAAAGGATAGTAACATCTCATCCTGTGTTCTTGGAATCATGGCAATGCTCCTTTTTTCATGGCAACAGTGTGCATACGGTGTGTTATACTTACTTAGCACAGTTAAGATATAACAGACCGCATTCTGCATTAGAGTTCAACCAAGATATGTAATGATATATATATATATATATATATATAGCCGACTACTATTAAAAAAAAAAACAGTAATATTGTTAAAAATATATATTTTATATTTGAATATACTTTAAAATGTAATTTATTCCTGTGATGTTAAAGCTGTATTTTCAGCATCATTATTCCAGTCTTCAGTGTCACATGATCCTTTAGAAATCATTTTAATATGCGGATTTGTGATGCTCAAAGAAATCTGGAAACATTTCAACAAAAATTCAGGATTCTTTGAGGAATAGAAAGTTCGTAGTTACTGTATTTGAAATATACTATTTTGTGACATTATACATGCCCTTACTGTAATTTTTCATCAATTGAATGCATCCTTGCTGAATAAAAATACGTTTAATGAGTAGAAAAACAGCCTATTAGAAGGATTTCTAAAAGATCATGTGACACTGAAGACTTTGAAATTGAAAATTGAAATTTAGCTTTCAAATAGAAAACAATTAGGCCTAAAACTTTTTTTTTGATTAAATAAATGCATCCTCAGTGAGCAAAAGAGATTTAAAAACATTAAAAATATTACTGATCCCAAACTTTTGAATGGATATATATTACGACTGTCAAACGATTAATCGCTATTAATCGCATCCAAAATAAAAGTTTGTGTTTACATAATATATGTGGGTGCACTGTGTATAATTATTTTCTAAATACACACACATGCTTGTATATATTTAAGAAATATTTTCATGTATATACTGTATATAGATTTATATAGAATTTATATTTTACATAAATATAAATATTTTATATATAATTAATTTTTTTCTTAAATATACATACATGTATATATATATATATATATATATATATATATATAAATAATTATACACAGTGCACCCACATATATTATGTAAACACAAACTTTTATTTTGGATGCGATTAATCGTTTGACAGTCCTACTAATATATATATATATATATATATATAGTTAAAGACTTTGTGAGGAAACACACACGTCAGTGAGATTGTGGTTCATTAGTTTTCACTGGAGGGTTTCAGAAACAGAAACACATGCTCTGTTGCCCCACTTCCTCTAAATACATTTGAGTTCAACTCAAAAAGAACATCTAATCCACTGACTTCTGGCAACACCTTGCACACGATATGATATTAAAGTCTATGCCAAAGTGTGTGTTATTACACACAAGAGCAGTCTCCTGAAGTGGAAACCGGCGTGGGCCACGCCTCGCTCGCTGAAAGAAGGCACGGAAGTAAGCTGGAGACCACAATGCATCCTGTCCTTCTGAAGTTCAAGGTTTTCAACACGAAACACTATCTCATGGGAAAGACCAGCAATTATTCACATTTAAAATGTAAAATGGTAGTCTGGCGTAGTGTACTGAAACGAAAACACTGTCTCACGCTGAAGTCACTTAATACCAAATTCGACTGGCAAATTGACCCTGCAAAGGTGGAGTAGAAGCACTTCTGGCGTGCTTTACACACACCGTCTGATGCTCAGAGGTGGAACAAATATGTAATGGGAATAAATACACAGTGACAGAAATGACTGCTGTAAGATTTGATGCTAGTCATTATTAAGTCTGGCTTTTATGCAGCATTGCGTCTTGACTGTGGGCATCTTTACACAGCCAAGTTAAAGGAGTAGCTCAAAAAACTTTTGCTGATAATTTACTCAACCTCATGTCATCCAAGATATCCATGTAATTATTTATTCAGTCAAAAAAAAAAGAAAAGAAAAAAGAAAAGAAAAAAGTTTTTGATGAAAACATTCCAGGATTTTTCTCCATATAATGGACTTCAATGGGAACCAAACGGTTCAAGGTCCAAAACACAGTTTCAGTGCAAACTGTTCAAAGGGCTTTAAACGATTTCAGACGATGAATTGAAAATACTGTGAAACAAAGACACCGACATCTTGGATGCCCTTGAGGTAAGCTAAAACATATCAAAAATTAATTTCAAAGTGAACTAACGTTATCCCTTAAATTGAGCCTGCTCTGACTCACCTCAGCACCTACAATCAATAACGTTACAGTTACAACAATCCCACCTTAGCAGTATTAAACAGCCTGCCTGTGTAAAGACGCCGAAATGCCGTTCAATGCACTTCAATACAGTAAGGTTACAACGCGTGGTTAAAAATGACTCATGATAGATTTATTAACTGTACATCCATAATGGGAAGATGAAAAAGCACTCAAAAAGACATAATTGACAGCTAGCCTACAATTCATATAAAATGTGTGACATGCCGATGTAAATTGTTTCATGGCTAATATCAACATCAATCGGTTTCAGTATAATCAAAATGTCTTACAAACTAAAGCCACCTGAAGTTTATTCAGCGGCAACTTTTAACTTAACGTTAACTTAGTTGTGAAATGGCAACACAAAAAAACAACACCAAGCTTCTCTAGACAAAATAAACACGTTGAAAGCAAGACTTTATCTGACTTCAGAGGGATCAACAGACGTTCATCTGAGAACTCTCTCTCACACAGACGCTACAGCCAAACATCAAATCTCATCAAACTGAGCGAAAATATAAACAGCATTTGAAGTATTTTACCTTTGAAAACAGACACTCTGCGCTGCACAGGCTGTTGTTTAATAATAATCTGTGTTCATAATGAAGCCGCTCAACGAGGACCGACGAGACTCCAGTTCAACTGTCTTCAACTGTCACACACCAGTGCACGAGAACACGAGCGCGCGCGCGCGCGCCTCGCTGTGACCGCGGTTCAACTTCACAGGGCAAGCCACAAGACCTGTAAAATTAATATTTATATTTATTTATATAGTCGACTACGAATTATGATTATATATATATATATATATATATATATATATATATACATATAAACATAATTATATATATATATATATATATATATATATATATATACATACATACATATATGTATACATATATATGATGATGATAATTAGTGTTAATAATTATACGAAATATAATGAATAACTTATACTTAGTATTATACATTTTATACAAATGAATATATTATTAGATATATGCTCCTTAATTATATTATATTATATTATATTATATTATATTATATTATATTATATTATATTATATTATATTATATTATATTATATTATATTATATTATATTATTATTGTGCAGTGATTGGTCTTGGTGCGTCCTCTAGCGGCCATGCGTAGTATTTCTGTCCAACAATTTGGTTTAGGTGTATAAATCTTTTAATATCTGAAATAAATATCTGGTTTATATAGGTTTAATATAAATGTATGCCATATTTATTCCTTTTTGTGTTTTTCTTCTTAGCAGATGTTTCTAGTTTTAGATAGATTTGGCAGTTGTAAAAAAAAAAAACTAAAAAAAAAGCTAAGCACCTATTTAATAAATAATGTAACATTGAATATTTAAACACACACACAGAGAGAGAGAGAGAGAGAGAGAGAGAGAGAGAGAGAGAGAGAGAGAGAGAAAATGGATTCAATTTGTTTTAAGACAGACAAGACATATTTGTTTTATTGTTCCATATTTCACCACCGGAGGGTTCCAAACTAGAGAGCAATGGATCAGACACCAGACTTGCAGATTTGTCTTTGTTTGACAAGATTTGAATTATCTGTAAATGGTAGTGAAAGTAAACATAACATTATTAATCTATCTAAAGGCAGCTTAATGTTTTTTTGTATTGGTGTTATCAATCACTGATTTTAATTATTTTTTGAAAAATTATTTGTTTTTTTGTTTTGTTTTTAGGTTTTTATGCAGAAATGATAATTGATTTTGTCTTTTGATTTTGCCAATGTCTTTTGGCTAGATTAATTTTGTGCTGAGCTGACTAATTTTCTGCCCAAAGAAATTTTTTATTTTTTCCTATGATGACAGTATCATATTGGTGTTTTATTTAGATCAATGTAGTGATTTTAAAATAATACAAAAAAAATAAAAAAATAGGTCTACAGCGTATAGCCTAATATGAATACATAACTGAGAAACTTAAATTGCCAAAACACACGCAGCACACACTAAAATTGCAATGTGACTTGATAGACAAGACAAAAAGGAGGAGTTATCCCTGCTTTTTATAGAAAACACTTGAAATGCTTGGTAATATCAGCGGTTCAGGGTTTGGCTGGTTTCAGTGTTTGTTTATATTCAAAATTATCTGTGTATTCTTATACGATCTGTTATTTTGTGAGAAACATATAAATTACTATTGTGGGTCATTATGCAAATGCTAATCTGCTTTAGCTAGGTTGTGTTGGGTAAAATTAGTGGCTTCACATTATTTTGTCAGTAAATTTGACATAACATATTTTTTGAAGTACCCCCTGAGATTTTGAGTTAAATTGAATTTTCATAATTTAACTACACATGTTCACTGAAAATTAATGAAATATGAGAGATTTCTGTCCCTCCATTGACAATACGCAACATCCACTTTGACGCTTCAAAAGAGATTGTAAACTATATGAATTGAGTGGTTTATTCCAAAATAGGGGTCTGTGTAAATGGCCCCGTTAAGGCAAAACAGGCCTAATTGTAATAAGAGTTGTAATAATACAATACGTCAATATAAAACTTCAGTAAATTACAAAACTAATATAGCCCGTGTCTTAATTCTTTTATTCAGAGAATAAAATGCAGAAAACGCAGAAAACATATGCACTGAAATGTTGTTAATAAAGTGACCCTGGTGCAAGTTGCATCCTATGCACATTACTGTATATGGTGTAAGGGACATGCAAAGATTGAGTTTGTGTGGATTCACTGTGAGGCGAACCGCTAATTAATAGCTTTTAATGAACTCAACCCAGAACTCCCATTTGGGAGACCACCGGCTGCTCTCTCTCTACTGAAGTGACAGGGTTTGAAGCCCGAGGGCCCAAATGTGGTGTCTCTGGCTGGACTCAGGCACACAGTGACATTTACCGGCTGCTCTGTTGCCTGCATGAAAAAAAAAAAAAAAAAAAAAAAAAAAAAGATAATAATCAAACGCCACTGTTTGTAATGGTAACGGGTTTAGTTCTCAGAGGTTTCTCTAGATCATACGTTTAATGGACTTCTCAATTATGTTTCATATAAATATCATTATTGTTTCGGATGTTTCTCAGGCCTATAAAACTATAAAAACTCTGATAATTTGATGAGAAGTGTTAAATCTGAGAAGTAAAAGAGTAAAAGACTTGGCTACACAATGACAACATTTTTTTTTTTTTTGCATTGCTTTAACTCATCAAAATCAGGTCCAAGTCCATTTTCAATAATTTTTCCATGAACAAAAAAAAATGTTGCCATGCCTTAAAATAGCTTTAATGTAACTCGACACCTTTGCTTCATTTAGTATACGCTGTTCTATTAATATGCAAATGAGCCCCCGCCTCCACTCGCTCACACCAGGGCTGCGTTCAGCCCCGACAAAACGTTGCACGTTTTTTAAACAGAAACGGTGGTGCGTTGAACACACTGTTCTGCAAGAGTTGCAACTATGGCAGCTGAGAAGGCCATTCTTTGTGTTCTTTGTGAAGAATTTTCCTGATGAAGTCAGTATAAATGTGTTTAATATGCCTGAATGTTACATTTACTGCACTTGCCGCCCAGAACACAAGAGAACATCCCAATCGAGTGAAGGGAACCAACCCGATCTCACGACCAAGTCATACGAATTCGACGAATTAAAAGGGGCTAATTCGTACGAATTCATACGACCTCCCTCGTACGAATTAGTACAATTTTGCAAAATCGTACATATTTTACAAATTGGCCAATTCGTATGAAATTCGTATGAATGACCTACCCCTTACCCCGCCCCTAAACCTACCCATCACGTGGGTTTAGACAAATGTACGAATTCGTATGAGTGAGGTCGTACGAATTAGACACTTTTTAATCATTCGTCGAATTTGTACGCATTGGTCGTGACATAGGGTAGCGAGCGGGAACTGAAATGGAAGCACACATCTTACTCAATTCAGACTAAAACGCATCGATTTAGCCTCACATAGCGACTTTATTTGTAGTTCACATTTTCATTTTTAGGAAAAGCACTTAATTACCATTGTTTATTGCTATCAAATGTCATACAGTTGCAATGAAGCTAAAAATATAAAGAACTGCATCATTACGTAGATATCCTATATTTTTACAATAAACGACAAACATATCTTCTAATATCCTCAGTTGTTGCGTATACCGAGCTGCATTGAACACATTTGTAAATTACTTTCCTTGAACCCATTAAGTGAGTTCACTTTAAAGGTTGTCTAAGCGATCCTGGGTGTTGACGTTCGGAATGTTTTCAAACAAATCGGAGGCTAGCTAGACCCTTCCTCCTCTGCATCTCATCTCCTCCCCCTCCCTTCCGTGCTTCCTGAAATAATTGTGAACGTGCATTTCTAGCAAATTATATCCTTGTGTGGGTTTGGCGAACATAAGCGTCAATTTAGAGAAAAAAAACAAAACAATTTAACGTTACCCGCCTGTCCAGCCAAAACAGAGCAACCTGAATGTCGGACTGGAAGCCCTTCTGCCGCCGGAGTTCTCGGCATCGTTCAAAAGCTTTGCTACCGATGTAAATTCGGAACTTCGCACGTTCTGTATCCGAATCCTTCTTCTTTTTAATTTGTTCTTCAGAACGACGTCTCTTTGGTCGTGTCGGCCATTTTTCAAACTTCCCTCTGATGCTTCGCTGCTCTCCTTCACACACACACCCCCTTCATGTGCACGCGCACTAACCCCCCAGACCCACCCTCAAATACTTCTTGCCAGTGATTGGCTGGAACACTGTTTGTTAGGTTTCGTGGTCCGGGTGAGACATGATTGTTTTTGTTGCCGTTTGTGGAGCCTGTGGTGTCTACAGAGACCGCGTCATTTTACAGTATGTTTAGGGGACAGGCAGCTAGCCGATAGTGAGGAGACGTTTGATGTATGTGACAAAAAATCTTTTGGCCCCACATCGCTTAGAGAACCTTTAATACCGCGTGCTTTATATATATGTTGCTGCTGATTGGACAGTTCTGACACACCCACCAACCAAACAAGAGAAAACGTATTTCAAACCTTCTTGCACACCGGTGCACGCCGTTTCCAGGAAACATGACGTTCAACCCAGAGACCGTAGCAGAACGTTGCACACCGTTTTGAATTTGATCGTACCCCAGCTCAGAGATCCAGTCATTGATCTGATTGGTTACAAGGTAGTTTGTCAAATCAGAAACACCAGCGATTTCAAGCCGTGTTTTTGTCTTTCTGCATTTTTAAGGAGAAAATACTCAGCAATGGTGTTGACTAATGAATTTGCACATAGTTTGTATTAAAGCATATTAAAAACACCACATAGACATATAGACAACATTCAAAACTTGATTTTAACCACAGAGGGCAATTTTCTTGTACTTTAGCCTACTGTACTCAAGTGGCTCTGCTCACTGTAAAAAATATTGTTGGTTTAATTTAAAACAACAAAAAAAGGGGATTGATTTAATAACCAGAAACTCAAAATATTATGCTATCTGAACCACATAAATTATCTAAGTTGATTTGACAAAATGTTAAGAAAAAAATGTTATGATAACAAATGTTTTTTTTACAGAGTAACTTCTAAACCAACAATTAACTTTACAATTTTCTATTTTACTTGTACTAAATAAAAACATTTACACTTGAAGCATTTACATTTACACCAAAAATTTAAATTCTCTCATCA